TTACATTAAAATATATGATTTGAATTTTGAAACTAACCATCAAATCCTAGCCATCCAAATATTTTTTAAAAGTCACATGATAGTTACATTAATCTTGACTAAAATAAAACATAAAGTGGAATATAAAACAACTAATTAAAAGCTGCTGTGTCACTTGCAAAAGAACAAAACATAGTGTTTTTTTTTTATTTTTCCTTAAGTGGAAGGAAGACAAATGTGGACGAGAAATTGCATAAATTTCTTCTAGCTCCACCATTCTCTTCTCCAGATGTGTGTATTCTACACAATTTTAAAAGACAGTACTTATAGGCTTTTCCCACTGCAGCTGATGAGGTGCTTATAATCAAAAGTCAAACCCACAGAGACTTCAACGCAATGATACAGGTAACAACCATCTCTGAAATCACTAATTTTGCCTATTTTCCATTTAATTTGATGGTTTCCATCTCAGTAGATGGCTAAGTGGATGAAACTGTTTCATATGTGTTCTCTGTAATGCTGGAATACGTAAATAAAGGTTAGCCAGCATCATTTATTAGATGACATTCATGGTCTCCAGAAACTTTAGATTGATTTCCTTACTATCTTTTTCTTACTATATATATATATCTTTCCATTTGCATTATCAATTCCTTTTCACAAGGAAACTTATTAATAATTTTTTTTAGTTGTGGTTACATGCTCAAGACTGTGAACGCATACTAACACATTTTTAATATTTTCACCTCAGCTTATTCCGAATCCTGTTTATCTTTTCCAAGGAATTGTGCTACGCAGAGGTGCCAAAGGAACCGGAATGAAAACTATTGAACTAGCACTTTCAATGTGTGACATTGTAGACATATATGGTTTCACTGTTGATCCAGGCTACACTGAATGGTACCTATTCTCTATTTTACTCATGTTGGTTAGTTTAGTTCTCATAGTCGTGTTCTTGGTAATTGCATGACTTGTGTCTGCATGATATGTTCTCAATTGTGCATTGAGATCACAATGTCTCCTTTTTTCTTTCGCACCATTTTGCAATTCCATTATCACCCCCATTATCATCTTCCATCTGTATTTCCTTAATAAAAAAATGGTTTTCCTGATACTTACATGATGCTAGTTTTTATGATACTTGCCTCGTCCATGATTTATTTTATTTTCTTTTACATAAATGATTGAATGCTAACATAAAGGAGCCCTGTAAAAAAAAAAAAGAAATACTAATATATAAGAGACTATTTATCAATAATTTCAATTATTTTTAGTTTCTGGATCTAGTTAATGATTTCTATATCATTTATAATTCTAATCTAATTCTTAAAATATCTTATTTGCTCATTCTACTTAAGTTCTTACTTTATCATAAATTTAGTATTTAATTGTAAATAATGATTGTTTTTAGAAATATCTTTATACTCTATTATACCCGAGAATGTTTTGCATAAAATCATGATGTATAGTTATATAAATAATAATATTTAATGTTTTTATAAATAATAAATAATCTCAAATTATACTAAACTAGTGTCATTATATTTTTATTAGTATGGTGTCTCTACCACATGGTTTTGATAGCCTTAAAAATTCAATTTAACTTCATAATTTACTATGTACACTTTAATTGTCATTTTTCTTCCAATATAAATCCAAAATGTATATTACAAAAAATATTCATTATCAACTATTTTAAGTTGATTTTTGTTTGTATTCTATTTAATTTATCTAGTGTTCATTTGATTTTTTTTCATAATTTTAGGACCATAGTTTCTCTTAATGGTTTAATAATTATCATTTATTTGTTAAGTATCCATATCACGTGATAAATGCAATTAAGCATAGTTTAATTCTTTATTATTTATTTTCTTAATCACATTTCTGAACATATTCTTATGTTTCATAACAAATAAATCAATCATATCTAATATTTTCATGTCTTCTTGTCTTGTTCTTTTGCTTATCAAAAAAACTCTATAAATTGACTAAAATCATTGTTATCATTATTATTAAAAGTAGATTTTTAAAAAATCTGTCTAATATAAAATCATTTATCTCTTCACTTCATTCATTTGACTGGTTTTGTTCACCTTTATTAAAAAATACAATATTCTTTTCTTTGGCTTGATGAAAAAGATTAATTAATTTAATCATTAAATATCTGCTCCTCATTCCTCAGGTTTGAGCTTCTATTTTTTGTTCAGATGTTTTGCTAACCTCTCTGTTCTTTTTAGAGGTTAACCTTGTGCCTTTTTTAATATATAAAAAATAACGCTAATTATTAATTAATATGTTTGCTTTTTTTTGATAGAGATAAAATTGTTATTCACAAATATCTTCCTCTCCCTGCCTCTAGTCTCCATCTTCATATCCATTTCTCCAAAGCAAGCTTGCACATGTTGCCTTCATAATTTTGCATCATCTTTAATTTCTTCGAAAATCAGTAGTTTATTTTTTTCTCAACATTGAATGATAGATTGACATTGATGATGATATCAACTTACAATATTCTAAAAAGAATAACGTAATAAACAAAAATATACAAAAGCAAACTAAAAAAAACATGATATAATTTTTCTTTTCCTATTTGAGAAAATAAATATGTGAAACCCAGTAATTAGTTAGTCTATTGCTAAATTATGCATGTGTGAAACTCAATAAAAATTATTTTTATGTTGAGAGTTTTGTTTGCAACAATGTAACATTTGTACTATGCCTGATGACAATGTAGGATGCTGAACGCTTCAGCCTCCTTCAATGAAACTCATTCCAAATACAGATGTCATCAAATTATTCTTAATCACGTTTTCATTTTTCTTTTTATTTGAGAAGGTCTTCATTATGTTTCCATGCCCTTTAAAAAAAATCCAAGCTAATGTTCATTATTTTTCCTAGTTCTCATCTTAAATAGGCCTTTTGTTGATGTTAAGTATCAATTTTTTATCGAGATGCTAACTGCTTTAATAGTCCATGCTTATGTTTTTTAATTTATCCGGATCTAGTTTGCAATTTATTTTTTTTAATTGCCAAACATTCACATGTCCATAGAGAAAGAAACACTCAGGTGGTAAGAGTTTATTTCTTATAAGTAATTAATGACTCCAAATATAAGAAAACCTATTTTATAGATATAGAAATTTTTTAATTTCTTAATTTGTAATCAAATTGACGCATCGCTTTTGAAACTAGCCAATCAAATATATTTTGTGGGCCATTTTTTTACACAAGAATCAATCAGAGGATATTTAAATTGTTAGTTATTTCTTTTTACTTTAAGGAATTGAAAGGTATTTATATGCAATTGTCTTTAATTAATTGAAGATAGTGGTTTGACATCACAATTTGTTGAATTCTTAGCATTCCATGGTCTGTACATGGTAAGTGGAACTTCTAGTTGGTGGTTGAGTTTTTCTTTTCAAATATCAAAACTCACAAGACATGTATACAAATCCTAATTTCTAAATACAAGCCCTTCTTAGTCCCTGCAAAATTTTTAAATTATCCTGCATTGTGTATATATATGGAAGATTTGTGATGTGATATTTCCTTTTGTTGTGGTTTGTGCTAACTATAATCTTTATATTTCTCATAGGACAAGATACTTCTCTACGCCTAGGAAAGGGCATAATCCACTTCAAGGACGAGCATATTACCAACTCCTAGAGTGCCTTGGTGTATGACTACTACCTTTTTTCCCCAGAAAAACATTGTATCTCATCGATTCATCTTGATGATAGCTTATGCATTAAGCTATATATCTTGAATGTGTTTTGTGGTTTATGCATTTCAGGTCATTAGGATCCACTCTCCCATGAGAGCCCAGAGGACACAAGACTGGTCAGATGTGCCAAGTCGAGAAATGATAAGCAGAGCTCATGCTGCTGCCTTGCGCATAAAGAGGGGTCATGCTAATCAGGCTGCTGGTTTGGGACAGTTTGGAAGTTGCAAGGTGTGGGGCAATGTGGACCCTGACAACAGTGGGCCTATCTCAGGATCTTCAGACATGAGTGATTTGAGGAAAAACTCAAATTACAGTAAATGGGAAGTTATGCCTTTTGGAAGTCTACGAAAGGAAGCACAGGATCACTATGCTCAGATGGGAGGTGTGTCTCTGTACAAAATGGATGGCAACAGATTGGATGATTTAGTATGCGTCAGGCATTCCTTGAAATCCGAGGCATGAGCTAAGTATTTTGTTGGTGCAAGGCAGTGTTTGTTGAACCTCGGTTGAGAGCAGACCTCTACTGGGAGCCACCTTGGAACTGCAATGAAGATGTACGATTTGGAGATTGAATTTGTTGATTGAGCATTTTATCTGATCACTTCATTGAAGGATTCTCACAGAATTTCATTTTCATACTGAATATTTCTGGAATCAGTGGCATTTTAGATTACTCAGCTTCATCGTCTGCAAAGGAGAGATTTTTTACTGATATAGTGGTCAAATGCACGTTGCTTTGTGAGGATCCTTTCCTGAGGGAGTATGTAAAGGCAGAGTTATCCAAATCCAGAAAATGTCGTAAGGGGTCAAATATCCGTAACTCCTGTGTTGGGATTGACATTAATATTCTACGATGTAAGCTATGGTGGGTTCTAACCTAAAGTTTTGTGGAGCATCTCAAGAACGTACAGCTTGTGGTTTGAGCTTTACCTTTTTTCTATCTTTTTAACGAGTCCATATAGAGCTGAAATTTGTTAATTAAAAAAAACGCGACTTGAGCAGCTGTTTTATAACGAATTTATATTGTATTATATATACTGTGGATGCTAATTGCCTGCTCTAGTTGATGGTGCTGTCTCTACTTTTGTGTTACAGTATATTTTGTTAGGAGATGCCTTCCCTTTTTCGCATTACAATTGTCGTGTGTTTTTTTTTTTTTTTTGCTCTAGTTGGATGTCCGTAGTCCTTATATGTATTACAGTATATTTTGTTAGGAGATGCCTTTCTTGCGTATCTGCCCTCTAAACTCCGAGGATAGTCGGAGTCTGTATGATCAGTGAAGTGAATTGCCATATCCGTACACCAACACCAACACCACACCCTGCTAATATTTATCAATCAAAATGCAGACAGCTTTGTTCATTGCACCTCCTGTGCTCCCTTTGAATCCCTGTAAGAACTTATTCCAGCTGCAGACCTTTACACCCCCGAAGGCAGGTGCTTCTCTTGCTTCCCGTTCCTCTGCAATCAAAGCAACTACTGCAATCGCTGACACCACCACTATTGATTGCAGTTCTGTGATCTCGTAAGTCATTTTTCGTTCAATCTTGAATTTTGTATCATGAATCTCTTCATTTCATTCAACTTCTTTGAGTTAGATAATCTACTACTCCTAAACAAAAGGGTTTGTTTCTCAGTGTGTTTCCAGTAGAGGCTTGTGAGATAATTGGTGGAGATGCCTGTTTGGCTGATATGTTTCCAGAAGTACGGCTACAGGTTGAGAAGGCAAGAAATGAAGCAGCTCAAATTACTTCAGATGACATTGAGAGAGAGTATCTTGTGTACAACGATGCAAAGACGTACTTAACTGGGTTAAATATCTTTAGTTCTTGTTAAAGTCTTGCGCTAAAGAACGTTCTAATCTATATGAACACGATCGTTTCTACAGGGTTTTCTGCGCTGAGGCGTGTGATGATCTCGGGGGAGAATTCTGCGGGGCTGAATATCAGAGGGGAGTCTTTTAGAAGAGATAACAGGAACATTGTCCAGAAAAACTAGGACGTTTTCTTTCTTCTTTTTCTGTATTTGAATGTATATATATTAAAATATATAGCAGCATGACCTTAGTTCATAATACATGCAAATTTATATATATTTGTTTGTTGTTAAGGCCTTTTCTCCTAGAGAAATCAGTTTCAGTAATATCGATGACCTATTGCATGCAAGTATGAAGAAGCCGATTGCGTGATGGTAATTACTTTTTCTGGAACGAATTTTGGGTTTGCGGAGTGTAACAAATTGTACCAGAAGAAGAAGAAGAAGAAGAAAGTGTAACATATGGCGATTCAAGGCAAAAAAAGAAAAAAGAAGAAGCTTGGATGGTCATTACGTGTTCCACCCATTGATAATACGCATGGGTGATTAGTTAACAAACTTCCCATTGGAAATATTTGGAGGCCATTTCTGCACATAATAATTATATTTGGACAGGCTCATATCCGGTAAGAGCAAGAATGATCATTATGTAACAACGTGTAATTTAATTAGTAAGGTTTTAAATTTGATTTTTAAAAATTATTGATTGAAATCTTATAAATTTTAGAGTTATTAAAGATTTATATAATTATTAATTTTAAAACTTGTAAAATTAGCTGAAATGCAAGCTACTCTAAATATTTATGTTAATAAAAAAAATTAACATTATGTTTTGTTTTAATTCCAGGTTTAGTCTTGAAAATCTTTTTGTTTGGCATTCCAAATTATTAGATCATTCATATTTAAATTTGGAGTATAAGAAAAGAGAAATAAACAAAATAAATTTTTAAATTTAAATAATTTTTTACGTGAATTTGTGAACTTTAGATTGGTCATATAGTTTCTTTATTTTGTTGAGTCCAAGCCTGATATCAGTTGTGCCCATCAGAATGTGGATGACGAAAGAAAAATTGACTGTCTTCAATAGCACAGTGAACGCTCAGCAATAGCGTTTGCACTGATCAGTACCCTAGAGGGTGCGCCAATCCTGGTGGTGAGGAACTTACGAGCTTGTACAGACAGCCATGCTGCGATCAACGAGATCTCAAAAACTGCAGGGAGGGAAATTACAGCAAGGGATTCAAACAGGTTCCATCATTTTAGAGATGGGTTTTGCTCTTGCAGGGATTATTGGAATATTGACTGGGAATGGGGGAGTTTCATTTCCCTTTCTCAAGGACCGCTCAAGCAATGGTACTTCTCAAGAAAGAGCGGATTCTTTTGGAGGGAAAACCCCTCCTTGAATGCAGCCATGGAAAAATTTTCATGTCTATCAGGTTCCTGTTCTCCATTCCTTGCAGCTTATCATGAGCCAGAAGAAATGAACTATACATATGAACACGCCGGATTTGCTATCTGTTGAATTGTTATGGAAGGAAGTCAGCATTCAGAAAGCACCGATTCTACAACCAGAGCTGGTATCATGACTACAACTGTGCCCTTTTTTGGGTGAATACAGGGGCACTGAGCCTAAAAGCTACACAATAAAGGGGGAATTGGGAACCAGCACCATGGAGATCAGCCCACAGTTTTCCCACCAAGTCCTGGCTCCCTGTATAATTGTTCTTGTTCTTGATGCTGCCTTCTTTTACAAATAGTCCCATGTCATGTAATTTTGTTAAACCAGAAAATGCAAGATGGGTTAACTTGCTACCCTCATTCTCAAGGGCAAGAAACATTGTAGATACAATCGTATACAGAACTCTGTCATCCCCCAAATGAAAAGAAAATGTGTACCTTCATTCTCCATGTTTTTTTTTAGCAAGCAAGAATTCTATTTTGTGGTGCCATTTCCAAATCTAAAAGGATACAGTAAGCATTCCCATTCAATGCCCACAATAGAATTGAACACCAGAATTATTAAAAAAATCTTGCTTCAAATCCTAGATAACTTAAATAGTAAGAAGAGATTTAACATAAAAACCCAGGAAAAAAACACTAGTCCTCCTTGTTAGAATTCTTCCTTTCCTTGTTAACAAGATCATCGGGAACAACCTTAAGCAACTTCCTATCCTTAGACTTGGCAATCTTCTTGAGAGTTTTTGGATTAGTAATCTTCTGCAACTTGGTACCAGACTTCAATATATTCTCCTGCTTCCTCTTCTCTCTCTCTTCTCTCATCTTTCTCTTCTCCACTTTATTCTTCCTAATCTCCTCCTTCAGCTCATTCTTCCTCTCTCTGTACGCCTTCTTTATCTCTTTCTCTCTTTCCCTGTCCTGGTATCTCGTGCCCTTCTTACTCACATGCTTCGCCGACGCTCTCTGTTTCCTTGGTTGCTTCCACTTTCGTCCCGACACCTTCCCTGCTATCACCCCATCGTATGTCGGCATTCCCAAGGCAACCGGCTTGTCTGGATTATCCGATGAAGGTATAGCCTTTCGCTTTGCCGCTGGTGCGTCAATCTCCATCGATGCATCGGTGGTTGCGGTTGCGGTTGCGGTTAATTGAAGTGCTTCTTCTTCGCGTTTACGCTTGTAAGTTTTTCCGCCAAAGCCTTCGTCAAGGCAACGGAAGTCGATGGTGCAAGCCATGGCTGCTGGGTTTCTTTTTCCTGAAACCCTAATGAGAAAATGACGTGTTTTGATTTTATAACGCGCTGGCAAGATTACGGGTTTGGATATTTATACAACGGTGCGGGTTCGAGTTCGGGTATTTATGGGATCGGGTTGCAGAAACGAATCCTAGGCGGTGCCCGTCTATAAATTAAAAGGTTGTTCCTCCTTATTTTGCTATTACCAAGTTGTATTTCGTTTTTAGAATTAAATTTCAAAGTTATTAAGCTTCATCCGGGTTGATTCAGCTAAGAAATTGGATTCTAGATCATCATGGTAAATCTGATAAAATTATATATATATTAAAAATTTTAATATCACATATAAATATTTTTAAAACAATACATGCAAACCTGAGCTATATATAAAAAAAAAAGACTTCAAATGTATAGTATAATTATTCTATATCAATTAAAAATTTAAAAATCAATTCATATAAATGTAACCTATATATCATAACATTAAAAAAATAATGCATGTTGATGTAAATTATATATAATTATCCCACATTATAAAGTTAATAAACATTATATATATTCCATATCGAAAAAATAAAAAATAATTTATATAAATATAGACTACAAAAATATGTAAAACTAAATATTTATAAATTAATTATATATTTTTTGGGTTTTATTAAAAAAATTATATAAAAATCAAATTTTACTTAGATTACATGCAGTTACCTAGATTACACATAATTACTTAAATTTTAGGTTGATTTAGCAGATAATCCATGTTTGATTGGTCTAATTGCAAGGCCAGGTTTTTGCTTATTTTAAATTTTAGGTCCTTAAGTTTAAAATTAATTTATCGGAGCTGAGTTTTCTAATATTATTAAATTTTATTAAAATATTTTTTTAATTATTAAAAATTAGAATTATTTAAATTTAAAATTGGTGTTGTTACACTTTAACCAGATAAAAAAAAGAGGCATGATATCAAATATATATTTAGTAATGCAATGCAAAGCAATTTTAATGGTGTTTTTTAATTGCTAAAATAATATATTTTTTATTTTTTATATTAATACATCACAAAAATTTAAGAATATCTAAAAAATATTAATTTAATTTAAAAAAAACTACATAAAAAATACTTTGACAATCCGATTGCATTATAAAAATAAACTCTCATCAAATTTGATAAACACCAACCCAATTTATTGGTCGTAAGCTCACCCTTAGTATAAGAACTAATATGTAAAACTAAATATTTATAAATTAATTATATATTTTTTGGGTTTTATTAAAAAAATTATATAAAAATCAAATTTTACTTAGATTACATGCAGTTACCTAGATTACACATAATTACTTAAATTTTAGGTTGATTTAGCAGATAATCCATGTTTGATTGGTCTAATTGCAAGGCCAGGTTTTTGCTTATTTTAAACTCGAAAGATTTTAGGTCCTTAAGTTTAAAATTAATTTATCGGAGCTGAGTTTTCTAATATTATTAAATTTTATTAAAATATTTTTTTAATTATTAAAAATTAGAATTATTTAAATTTAAAATTGGTGTTGTTACACTTTAACCAGATAAAAAAAAGAGGCATGATATCAAATATATATTTAGTAATGCAATGCAAAGCAATTTTAATGGTGTTTTTTAATTGCTAAAATAATATATTTTTTATTTTTTATATTAATACATCACAAAAATTTAAGAATATCTAAAAAATATTAATTTAATTTAAAAAAAACTACATAAAAAATACTTTGACAATCCGATTGCATTATAAAAATAAACTCTCATCAAATTTGATAAACACCAACCCAATTTATTGGTCGTAAGCTCACCCTTAGTATAAGAACTAAGAAATCACCATTCATTAGCGGACCAATTGGATAAGTAATGATTTAAAAAAAAAAAACCCAACGGTTAGATCAAAGCGAATAGGTTATCAAAAATAATATATTTAACCGTAGTGCCTTTGACCTGGTGTTGTAATTTACAAGTATCAATACAACGAATTTTTTTATTCTCTCTTCCTTGTGCCTCTCTTGAAAATTATCACTTAAAATTTCTCCACATAATCAGTTTTGATAAACTACAAAGATTAGTAAATAAATACTCAATTACACGATGAGATGGCTGTATCAAAGGCAGTAAATTCCAGGATGCCGTGAGTGTAGATGCAGTGCCTATCTTTGGACCGGAAAACAAAAACACAAAAGGACCAGACAAATTAACCACCATTACCAGCTAAGATCTTGCTGCTAAGAACTCAAATTATTCTTCACTTCGAAGCTGAACTGAACCGTTATCAGATACACACTTCCCATCTAATTCAGAGACGTCGCTTTCAAAGAAAGCTGAGTGGAGACTCCTGACACACTGCTCTGCTTCATCATCATTCACAATTAATGAGATATTAACCTGGTAAGTGAAAGCCAAAGGTGAGTTACTTGTCGTGGCAGTCAATAAATTGCTAAGGAGCACCCGAGCCCCAGGAATGGTGAGCACCCCAAGATAAGGAGCCATCTGGATCCTTCTATGGCATATAGCGTCCAAGAAGGGTGCTCACAAAATCCTATTCTCGGGTTCCGAAGCTGTAAAGTTCCATACATGTTGCGTACTGAAAATAAGGCATGCAGGGGGGAACCATAGTATAGGTGTGATACCTTTGAAGCACCCTGTGATATCATCTGAACGTTGATTCCTTTGATATGAAGAACATTGAAGACCTGCCATAACACATATCCGGTAAATGAACAAGAAATGAATGAGCAAATAAATAGACAGATGAGCTTAAAATCCTTCACCACAACAGTCCGGACACTGATGGAAAATATATTGGAAAAACTGTTGTTGCATAACAGCTTAAATACAATACTCAGGTCTCCCTTGAAACTTCTTTCCAGGTCGTAAGATTCCTGCTAAGCTCTGGTTTTGAAAATAATGAATGACTGAAAAGCTTTTTTATAAAAAATTATCCCACAAGGTCATCATTTTGAAGTTGCAGCTGGTCCTCGTTCAATCAAAGATGGAAGGTTTCATCAATGAAAACACAGCATTTACCATGATCCACTAACCTAACATGTTAGTTTCTGGAGAGTGCAAGGAACAAAATCTAAAAGTTCCTACAGAAGAGACAGGTTCCCATCACTAAACAAAAGTAATATAGATGATTAGATTTTGTAGTTAGGGACTAGGAGGAAAAAAGCGATGCCTTTTTTCACCCAAAGAAGAAACAAGTTTCCAGAAAACCAGTCTTAACTAATAAGAAAAGATCAATGGATCACCTTCTCTAATATCAGAGAGGACCTCTGGACATTCCCATTGAGAGAGATTATTGATCTATGCTGCAGGACATTGACTACAGCAATTTTCTCAAGCTCTTCCACAACATGGTCGAGTTCCTGTTAAAGGAAGGTACATTAACAGATGAGATCGAATGCCAAAAGTAGACATGAATAAAATATCCTGCTGGAAAATAAATACCAAAATACAGACTGTAGAAAAACAAATCATAACAAATAAAAGATGCCATACGCTTGCCTGCTGAATCAGCTCTCTACTCCAAAGCTTTGATGGATCGAGTGTCAAGGAGATGCTGACTTCGCTAGTAGCCACAACATCTACTGATATTCCTAAATCTTCAAAGATCGAAAACACCTAAATGGATAAAATTTAATAGGGATAAGAAAATTGAAACATCTGGGATAAATGGGGGCTAGAGGATTAGAAACAGATTTTAGCTGCGAACCTTAGCAAGAAAACCAAATTGGCCAAGCATGCGGGTGCTAGCAATATCCAACATAGTAACATTCCGTTTCAAAACAATGCTAGTTAGTACTGCCTGTAATTAGGACAAAGAAAAGAATAATTTTATTTCAAGTTCTTCACATTGCAATCATTTAGCATCATCTAATACAAACCTTACTCATATCTCGTGTCCTGGTGATGAGAGTCCCAGGAGCATTCGAATTGTAAGAATTTTTAACCCTAACTGGAATATCACCCTCCCTAGCAGGTCTCATGGATTGTGGATGCAAGACCTGCAGAAAGGTACAAATAAAAAGGTTAGAGAAGACATGGTTACTTTGGGCGTTTGCTCAAGTTAGAATTTGGAGATTCATAAATAGACTAGTTATTAAGCTCCAGCTTGACTGTGATCCATAAACTAACTAGTGGAGGGGGGGGTTAGGAAGCTTGTCAACAATAACCAAATTGAGGTCATTTTAAAAAATATATTAAAAAAAAAAGAAAGGGAAAGGAAGTGTAAAGATTCATTACTCGCGTATGGTTTTTACAAGACATTTCAATTTTAATCATAAAATTGTAAGTTTCACACTCATGCTCGACCATGTCACAAGCCATAAAATTATGATACCTGAGCACCAAAATATGCTAGTTCCGCTGCCTCGTCAAATGTCAAGTATGGAACAGGTTCAGCAAGTGGATATATATTAGGATCACATGTCAAAACACCATCAACATCCTTCCACACCTACAGTAGATTTAAAAAAAAATAATTATTAGTCTGATTTCAATTGAAAAATGGAATTTCTACAGAAATGCACTCGATAAACTTTTATGAACTTCAGCACAGTTCGGATATATATTAGGATCACATGTCAAAACACCATCAACATCCTTCCACACCTACAGTGGATTTAAAAAAAAATTATTAGTCTGATTTCAATTGAAAATGGAATTTCTACAGAAATGCACTCAATAAACTTTTATGAACTTCAGCACAGTTCTATATTTTCTAGAAAAAGCATTTTCCTGCACGCTTACATTTCATTAATAAATGCACTCATGGATGAAGAAAGAGAGTTGCAAAAAATCAGAAGAAAGAAGAACATTGCCAACCAAGTACACACAGTTGAAACACAACTATCTTTTCACAATATCTGTATGGATTAGGGAGAAACAGTGAATATTTCCTAGTTGGATTCTCTCCCTCTTTTTCTCCATTTTCCTCTCTCTTTCACTTTCATAATTTTAAAGTATTCTTTAGATCTGGGTTTCCTATCCTTCTGCTTGTACCTGAGTTTGCTACTTTTTCTCCTTCTCTTGCTTGCAAAAAACCATCATTGTTGTCCATTTGGGTTTGCGGGAGGTAGTGATGCTTTGACAATTTGACTGGTAGTGGTGTGGCAGTGAAGCTGGTGGAGTCTCAGGTTGTGGTGGTGGAGGTGGTGAGATATCTTCCTTGTTTTACTGTCTGTGATGCTTTAGGTAATGGTCATGGTGGTTTGAGTGGTCGTGTTTGTGGTTTGGGAGTGGTGTTGTTGGTTAGATTGGTAGTTTTATGGTTTTCAAGCGCTAGATTATGGGGGCATAGTTGTTGGTATTGACTACCTGCAAAGGGTTGTGTAGGTTTATTGGGGTTTGTGTTTTCTGGTAGATTGGGCTGTAGCATTAAGGCTCTAGTGATCTTGGTGACGAATATGATGGCTGTGTTGTTGGTTTGAGCAGATGATTATATTGGAGTTTTAGGAAAGCTAGAGCTAGTGGAGATAAGGCTGCGAAGTGATGAAAAACGGGGGTAATGACGGTGGCAGGAGTTTTTTGTGGAGGAAAAATATGAATTATCTTGCTTCTTGCTACTATTTCATGTGGCAGCAAACAGAGTCTATTCTTGGGTCTTAGAACAGTGTTGTAATAGTGCTCAGGTTTTGCACCGGATCTTGTGTTTGTAACAGTCATCTTGCTTACTTCAGCTTTATATAGTATTTCAACTTTGACTTCGAAAACAAACAATGACTTAAAATTGACTCGGTTTGTGGTATTTGGGAGGGGAAATTATGGCAAAATTCCTTGGAGCTATGCTATCTATTACGAACTTCCAGTGTCTGCAGTTACCTGAATCTCTCGCAAACCTAATGCTTTTCCAATTGTTGTGGCCGTCAAATCACTGCCACCACGGCCTAATGTAGTAATAGCACAAGATCGCCAGCCCTGCAATTAGAAATATCAAAAAAGGTAAAAAAAAACATATATCAATGAAGCTTTCCATAAACTCTCTCCTATAAGGAGTTCATTAATTTCACAAACAAGGTGTCCCGAGCAATTTCTTGTTGTTGATTTTGTCATTCTTGAGCTCATCTCTTTTGGTCCCCTTGTGAATGTATAACAAAAATTTGTCCATGTTTTTTGAATTATATGCTTTTCTTTTTTTTTCCTAGGAACGAAAGGAGAAGATCAAGGCTGAAGCTGCTGCTTCTGCTTCTATGCCCACTTTACCCAGTTTTGGACAGTCCTCTTATGACACCTCCCCTAATTTCTCTATGGAAGACTTTGAAGGTATTATTGCACTTTGTGAACATGTTGACTAGGCTAAATCTAAGAACTAGGCAATTGTGATACCTGTTAGCAATTTCAAGGTGACAAAAAGTCCATTTGAAAGAAATGAAGAAAGTGAAATTGTAGGATATTCCCATAGTGGTTAAGAATTAAATTGGGTATGGCCCCATGTGCTGTATGGACCCTTCCACCATAGCTTAAGCCTTATGTCGGGTACTCTAATGGTCTAAATCTTAGTAAAGAGATTTCCTTGATCCTTAATGCATGAATTATAGTTAACTAACCAGAAAATTCCAAGTTGACCTAGTGTTATCACATGCCTGTGAGATTGTTACTTGAAATTCCCATGAGGATCCTTGCATTTTGCTCTAGCTTTTTATGATTAGACATGGATCCTAGAAGAAATTGTGACATTAGATAAACTAGAACCTGTTTCGTGTCGTTTACAAATTGAGCTAGTTATTTTCTGGAACCAAATTGAAATCTTCAATGCTAGTGGTTATGATAAATGCTGTCATTGGGCTCATAATCTTTTCAGTGAATTTTTTCTGAATGTATAAGTGTTCTTATGGCTCGAACTTTTTGCTCAATGTTTCACTTATGTCCCCTGCCCTTCTTTTGTTTAGCCCTGGGTATTTGTTCCCCAATGTCATCTAGCCCTCCAGTTGCAGGGGAGAGGATACTGTTCTCAAATGTTGCGAGGTTTGGTTTTGCTGCTGGACACGATTCTCCAGCCCTGAAAATTGAGGAAAATGTTCCTCTACAAAATAACAAGCCAGGAAACAATTCTTCCAATTTAAATGGTATTACTTTTTCGTGGAATTTTGATGGTCTCGTCTAAGATTTATGGCATATGCATGTTTCATGTTCAGGCTTGTGGCCATTTGGGCTGTTCTTGCAATTTGTTCTGCAGATAGGTCATTGAATCCATTTGTTTACGTAGGTTCAAGAAATTCAGGCCCATCATCATTTGCCAATGTAACAGCCAGACCAAAACCTGAAGAAAATGTCGATCCTTCAAAGATGAATGAGGTTAGTAAGAAAGGGAAGAAACCAAATCGAGTCCTCTTATCAACAACTGGTGGTCGGCGCTACTGAAAGTCTGAAACTTAGGTTTCTAACTTTTCAACTGCAGTTAGCTACAGCTACTTTTTATCCTGATGCCAACCTTGTGCATGAATTCTATAAATGAACTAGCAGTACTGATACCCGGAGATAGCTCTAGAAAGAATAAAATGTGAATCTTTCTGTGTGCAGTGTGTGCCTTTTACTATACATTTGTGTTGTATGGCCATTGAAAGGATCACACATGCCATTCAGTAGAACTCCTATTTGATATCAGTGAACCTCAAATCTTGGTGAGTGGCCGAATTCCACTCACAAAATTTATGGGAAATACTGCTTAACGAGTGGGGCTAACAAGAGAGAGATAGTCACTCCTCTTCCATAGCCAAAATGTTCAGGTGCTTTTTATTATTACAGATGACAAATCTTTACTCTAGCAGGAGTGACTTTTGGACGGATCATTGCGTGAATGCGTCAACATGCTCGCATTTTCCTTTGATAAACAGCTTGCCCATATTGACTTCAAGCAAATGCACCAGGATAAGAGATAAATGGATATGGCTGTATATGCTTTTCCGTGGGAAATACGAGCAAGGATACACAACAGAAAATGCAGGGGTGGATGCGTTATATATTGAAGATCTAATGCATGATAGTTGCGGACAAGATGATAAGAAAATATTTCAATATATTCTCCATTTTATTTTTAATAATATAAGTACAAAAGAAATGTTATTAAGAGCTAATGTAAGTTGTTAAGATATGTGAAACTACATGTTAGTAAGAAGTCACTCTTTTTTTATTATTTTAATATTTATTATTGTTATAATATTTTAAAGTTAAATGCACAGATTACTGAAAAAATATTAAGTAGTGAAAGCATTTTGAAAGCATCTCCAAAATAGTCCACTTATTTATTAATTTTCAGGAAGAAAATAGGATTGAAAATCTCAAAATAATGTCTTCATGGCTGAAGGAGTATATTCTTATTTAGAGTTATACTCCTTTAGATCACATTGAGAGAGAGAGAGAGAGAGAGAGAACCCTATTTTTATCCTCCTCTCATTCCGTATGCTATTGGTGTTAACCATTTTTTTCCATGGAAATACTGGAGTGGAAAAGGGTTCCTCTTCTATATCAGTCAATCAATTTTCCCAGTTACTCGGGTCTTTTTGGTGACAGGCAGGCCTATTGGCTGGGTGTGACGTGTCTTATCATTGCTTGTATAGATTTTTCTAGCCATTTAATCCGTGTTTTGTGATGGATTATAATTTTTTTAAAAAAAATACTTGTTATTTAAGCTATTTTAATGTAGTTTTTAATATAAAAAATTCAAAATATAAATTGATAACCTTATGGAAGTATTTTATTAAATAAATTAATAATTATTTATGTAAATAAATAGAAAAAAATAATTAACAATAACCCAAAAAAAATGATAAAATTGAGAGATGATAAAAATTAAAATATTAAATCACACAAAATAAAATATTCACTTGATTGTGTTTATTAAACTTATTTATTAAAATCAATAAAAGATAAATTCACAACCTTAAAAACTCATGACTTAAAAGATAAACATAAATGAAACTAAATAAATAAACTCATGTCTAAAAAAAATATTATATAAGACCAAATACATTAACAATATTATTTAAAAATAAATTATTTTTTTATTTTTGAAACTAAACTTCATTTGTTTAAAACCCAAAAACAAATCTAAATAAATTAGCATAACATCTTTAAAAATCAAACATCAACAAAACAACTCTAGAAAAACTTAAATTAAAAAATAGGATGCAAAACATGTGACTTAGATTATGAAACTAAGATAAATTTATATAAAAATAAATTAAAAATAATTAAAAAATTAATATTTAAAAACAAATGCAGAGCAATAAGATCGTATGAAATTGAATCTCTAATAAATCAAATGTCAAAAGATGAAATCAAAAAAATTTAATTATACAAAAAATCTAAAAAATAAGGGTGAAAAAAAATTAATTAGATGGCAACTAAAAATTTATTTTGATAGGCACTCTTTTTATTTCTAAAAAAAGAACTTTAATTATACAAACTATTTTGATATGTTTGTTTTACGTAATATAAATTATAAGTGTAAACCACAAAGTTTATCCAGATATCTGATAATCATTTATGTAAATAAAAAAATTATTAATAATAAATAAAAGAAAAACTGAAAACTTAAGAAATGAACGTAAATCAAGATATTTGATCTCGTAAAATAAAATATTTACTGATTTATATCTACTAAATTTGTTCATTAAAATCAATTAAAGATATGAAAACTCATATGAAACATAATGAATAAAATAAAAGAAAAACAAATTCATAGCCTAACATATAAAAAATATTATTTTAAAATAACTATGTTTGTACAAAACAAAACTTACTTGTATAAAGTAAAATAAAATAAAATAATAGCAAAAATTAAACACAGAACAAAAACCCTTGTAAAACCCATAATTTAAGTAATGAAATGGAGACAAACTAATAGAAAAAGAATATAAAGGTAACCACAAAATATTTTTTTAAAACAATGTAAAATGATAAAATCACAAAATATAATGAGGAAAAAAAGAATTCCTAACTATATTAACATTTAATACTTGTGATCCATGTTATTAAATTAGAAGCATTATAAATGAAAAATCATGAAACTCAATTCCACATAAATCAAATGAAAGATGTATTTAGGGAAAAAATCAACTATGTAAAAAAAATAATTAAAAAATAAAGGTGAAACCCAAAATAAAAAATAAATTTATGGGCATTTAAAAATTAAATTGCAGGGTTAAATTGAAAAGAAAAAACAATTAACATAAGGAAATAAAAATAATAAAGGCTAAATTGAAAAAAACAACAACATAAACTTTGATTGAATAATAAAATTAAGTATTAATAAAACTTTAATAAAAAAATCCAAAGGTAAAATAGACAAATGAAAAGAATAAATACTAAATTAGTAAAAATAATATATGATAAATTATAATTTCAAGATTAAATTGAAAATATAAAAAAATGTTTCTAAAAAGATCAAGGACAAAAATAAGTAATAAAAGATATAAGGATTAAAATTGAAAAAAAAAAGGACAAGCATGTACTTTAATTGGAAAAGAGATAAAAGTAGGAAGAAAAAAGAAGAAACAACCATCGATGACAGACTCTAAGACCACCACCGACATGCTTAACACTAGGAGGAAAAACACATGATAACGCTTCCAGAGACACGATAGAAGGTCATCTTTGAACAAATGATAACATTACACATGTTGTTGAAAGAGCATAACCGTTACTAACACATTAGCCTGTGAAAAATACCATTGAATGTATAAAACCTATCCTGTCTTGCTTAATAGCAAAAAAATATTTTACTTGTTTTAAAGTTTGTATATAGTAAATAAAAAACTCTTGGTTAATGGGTTTAGATTTCATTGACCTTAGAGGTAGAAAAGTATTTTTACTTTATAAAATAATATAAAAAGACAAAAATATTCATATTCAATCTTTTAATAACTAATGGGTCGGCGTAAAAACACCAATAAACCCCCATATCCTAGCCTTCCAACTTTTTCACCAAGAGACACGAATGCAAGTTCACTATAGCAATTCATAATAAATTGTGTCTATTACTACAATGAATTCACCATACATTTTAGAATTTTTTTTAATATAGAATATGTAAGCATAAGATGCAAGTTGGCAACCATGTATTGAGCCCGTTTGTTTTTGCGTTTGAAAAGTGTTTTTGAAACAAATTAATTTTTATCTTATTTTTTTAGCTTAAATTAATATTTTTTTAGTGTTTTTATATTATTTTGACATGCTGATATAACAAATAAATTTAAAAAAATAAAAAATTATTTTGATGTATTTTTCAATAAAAGACACGTTAAAAAGTAACTACTATTGTATTCCAAATATCCCTTAAGACAAAACCGCTTTTAGGACTAAATTAGTAACCCCCACAATGCTATATGCCATACCAATTTTTTTCAACTTGAAAAAAATAAAAAGATGATTATATTTTTTTAAAAAAAAAAGTAAAAGAAATTTGATAATCAGGTTAACCAGGTTAAAACTAGATTAAATTAATAATAAGATAGATAGCAACATAAATAAATAAATAAATAAATAAAATAATTAATTTTACATCCATAAATACTGAGCCTAGAGAAGTTCAGTCATACAGCTTGCCAAATTTACACACGCCCATTAATGTTAGATTATCACTATGTATTTAGTACTCTATTTAATATGAATTATAAACAAAAATAACATATATAAACTACGTTAGTCCATCACTAATGATAATACAGAAATTAATATAAGAGGTAGCTCAATTAGTCAGGCATTGATTTTGTTTCCTACTGGTCATAATTTCAAGTTTTCTCATGGCCACTAGAGGCTTACATAATCGTTAACTTTAAAACTCGAAGTGTACATAAACTAATTTAGACATCCACATTAATAAAAAAATAAAAATAAAAAAACTAATATGTAGATTTATTGATGAAAATCTACCGATGAGTATCACTAATCTCAAACATATAAGTGTTAAATATAAACTAAGACTCAAGGGATTAAAGAATTACACTCTACAATTGGTTATATCATGAGTTTGTTATTCAAGAATCACTAGTTCTAGTGTCATAAACCTCAGGACCATTAGAGGCTTATCTGATCATTAATTTCAAAGTCACAAGGCCACTAAGCAAAACACACATTTATACCTTGGTTATAATTTTTATATCCATTTTAATTTGATATTTGACAAAATAAACCCCTTTTCAATAATAGAAAATTTCAAAAATATACGGGGCCTTCATTGATATATATTATGGGTCCCTCGCACTTTATTTTATTTTTTTCCTTTGTGTTTGTATTTTTTGTATATGTGTTCAATCTATAGACTATTATTGTTAAATGCAAATATGTCGTGCAATATTTTTTTTACTTCCATCTAAAAAGAGAAAATAATAATAAAGGATAAACAAGAAAAAATGATATATAAAATTTTTTCTTCAAATTCATTTTTTTGCGAAAATATTCACTAATACCAAAGTTAGAAGTATCGTATTTTTATGGATTTGTGTGATATTTACCAACGCCAGAGTTCAGAATATTTATAGAAATTATTTGCTGATGCTAGAGTCAGGAACATAAAAAGAAAAATTAAAAAGAAAAAAGAACAAATTCTTAACAATTTTAGACAGAACCAGCAATGCAGCCTGTCTTATGTATGAAATTTAAGGAGTGATAATATCTTCTATTTTGCTTAACAGTCCCGTATTATAAAATCTCTGTTGA